TGCCACTTTCTAAATATTCCTTGCTTCTTTAGTACATTTGGCTGCTGTAACAAAAATGCTTTATATGTGCTAATTTCTGCTCAGGACAGATGTATTGACTCATGATTCTTTAGGTGAAGATGTCTAAACCCAGAGCTTAGATGAGTTCAGTTTTTACAAAGAGCTCCCTCTCCCCTCCCTTCCCATCCCCTTCTCTCTTCCCCTCCTTTTCCCTCCCCTCTTCTCCTCTCCACAAATAATACCTTGTCCTTTGAAAGTATATGGCGAACATGGAGTGGCCACCTCCCCAACACCATTTTTAAGACAGTATGCCCATCCATTTAAGCTACTCCTCACTTAATCACTTCGTGAGGACTCTTTCTCCTAAGAACTACTTTGTAGTTCTTTGTAGTTCAAATATACTTTGTATATTTGAGTGGTGGACCAACATTCGGACCATATGATTCTTATTACATTGTTAATTTTTAAGTTAATGCATAGTGAAAAAAAAGTGCTTAAGATTTGTATTTATCTGTCGCTAGTTTTCAAACTTCTTATAATAGATCTGTATAAACATCCACTATTTGTTTTCCAAATGGTCAGACATCAGGTCTAAAGTCTGATTTCCCCGACCCAGCTTGTTTCCTACCACACAGCCTCAAGGCTGCTCTGGGTCTCTGTCCTGGGAATCTTGGGAATCTTCCTACCATTTGCTAGATATCTTCTCCCTTTACCTAGACTTCATGTCCTACCTCCTCCACCCCCACCCTTTGGTTTTTGTTTGTTTAATGTTTTGGTTTTGGTTGGTTGGTTTTTTTTTCCTCTTTACTTTGAAAAAGCACGATATATTAGCCAGACTTCCATTTCTTTAACAAGCTATCCAAGTTACAGGAACAACATTTATTTTGGCATGGAGTTTTAGAGATTTTAGTCCATTATCAACTGGTTCTATTGTCTCCAAGCCATGGTAAAGAAGAAAAACTTCCAGGTCTGGATGGATCAGCAATGCTCATCTCATGGTAACCAGAAGCCCGTATGAAAGTATGTGATAGAACAGGTCGTCTGTCCAGAGTCTACACCCTCAAGGCATCCTAAGTATCTGTCATCTCTCAGTAGTCCATCAAATATCTCATCAGTGGATTGATCTATTGATGGGGTTTCCTGATGTGATCACTTCCCCAGAACCATGTCACTCAAGCCTTTAACACATAGCCTCTGGGAATTTTTAGATCCAGACCCTAACAAATTTCCTGTCTTTAAGAAATCATGTGTAGGTGACTGCATGTCTGAGTATGGCTAGTTTCTGTCCCCACTTTACAGGCAACCAAACTGTTGCTTCACTGGAGATAATTCTCTTCAGAAGCTGGAAATTATTTCCCTTTTGTCTTTTGAAATTCAGTATGCTATTGAGAAATCTAACCCCATTCTTAATTATTTCCTTCGGAAGCTGTTTGGGTTTGTTTACCTGACTTTAGCCTTCATGAAACTTTTAGCATGTATTCTTCCTTGGTTGTGTGAAATTTTATTGTTCTGTCTTGCTCTGTGTGCCAAGGCTTTCATGCTTTATTTTGAGGTGTCTCTGCAAATGTTACCTCCCCTGACCATGGCCCTTCCAGGGTCCCACAAGTCCTTAGGGGAGTTATGCTTATATGTAAGAGAAAAAAAAAATGACTTTTGCTTTTTCCATACCTGTTTGAGACCACAATTTCTAGCTTAACCCTGGTGGTCACTGCTGACATCTCCCACTAACATAGCAAACAAGAGAATCTCATTCCCTTTCCTGACCATCAGAACCCACCAAACTCAGAATTCTCCCCATACTTTATCCATGAGCACCAAAGCCCTCAGGAGTGTTCCTCAGCTACTTTCCCTTCTTCCTATTCTTACCCTATTGTTTCTACATTGGAATATCTCCTCCCAGACTTGCCTTTCTCCATTTCACTCAACACTGTAGTTATCAACTTTATATTCACAAGTTATGGGAGGCAATATGTTATTCAGTCCTTCTGGGGCATGATTTCAGGTATTTTATTTATTTTAAGACTTTTCACAGAAGAAATGAGGCTGTATTTTTAATATAAACTGACAATTTCCTAGGTTTATAGTAAAAAGATGCATATATTTATCTAAACAGTTTTAGATGTCTTTTGATTGTATACATTTGTCTCGGTATCTGCCATTTCTTCTGCCAAGACTGCTCTTCCTCCAATGATATCCATCTTTTGACCATCTATCTCAGTCTTGTGCTTCTAAGAACAGGAGAGTGTTTTTGTTGATGCTCAGAACATAGGAACCATAAGTGCACAGTGATATCCCAGTACACAATACCACATGCCAGGTAACATGTGTTGGATATGTGTACTAAATACATCTAACATGAGAAGAACATCCTCCTTATATCCTCTCATCTTATACATGAGTTCTGTTTCACATAGAGTTTACTTGCACAAGTCTTTTTATACTTCAAACCAGAGGGTGTTTTTTAGCAATGATAAGAGATTTGATTAGTCCTTAACCAAAAACATAAGCAAATGTCCTGGACTAGATGATGTGATTTTATGAAATAAAGCCAGATGACACATGCCTTCAGGGCTCTGGAGGCAGAACAGGTGGATCTCTGTGAGCTCCAGACCAGCCTGGTCTACAGAACAAGTTCCAGGATAGCCAGGGGGCTACACAGAGAGACGGTGTCTTGAACGATAGATAGATAGATAGATAGATAGATAGATAGATAGATAGATAGATAGATAGATAGATAGATAGATAGAT